AGTCCCTTTCCCCCGGAAGCATGTCGACACCCGACCTCGCTCGCCGCGTTCACCGCGACAGCCGTCGAGCAGGTGCAACCTCTTCCCGCGGCTCCCCCCCCCCCGTTCACTGCCTTCTTCCTCCCCCCATCCCCCCNGCCTCTCTCTCTTTTATTCATATACAGTATATACTGTGTGTATAAGCCCATGCTCTCTCGCACTCTCCCTGCCTTCTCCCCCCCCCCCCCCCCCCCCCCCCCCCCGTCCACTGCCTTCTTCCTCCCTTCCATCCTCGCCTTCTTCCTCTCTTCCGTCCTTGTTTTCTTCCTCCCTTCAGTCCATGTCTTCTTCCTCCCTTCAGTCCGCCGCATTCTCCTCCCTTCAGTCCACTGCCTTCTTCCCTCTCACGATTCCTCCTTTGTCGGGAGCAGAATCGTGAGATTCGCATCTCCTCGTCCATTCCGACCCTAATTGCAGTCGCAGAGCGCTTCTCATCCGTGCCAATATCCCCTTCCGTTCTTTTCTTTCTCGGTTGCATCCCCGGGCCCACCCACTTCGACTGCGTTTCGAGAGATTCTTCTTCCTTGCCGAGACCGGATCGGGTCTGCGGAGTTGCGAGACGACGCGTTTTTTCAAGACCTCTATCAATATTTTTTTGTAATTAAATCTGGCAAGAGCGGAAGGAAGCCCGTTCTCGGCTCTTTCTTTCCGGGCAGCGCGAATATTTCCACAGAAAAAATAAATAAATTTCAGAATTAAAAAAAATTTCCATCTCGAAAACGACTGCAGCCTCCAAAAAAAAAGAGGAAATGCTCGCAGCACGAACGAACGTCGCCGATTCACAGGAACTGCCGTCGGCGACGGCAGAGCGATCGAGGACTTTCCAAGGGCTCACGCGTGCATGGCACGTCGTGGTAGACGATTTTCGGGGATTCCGGTCGACACGCGGGAGCGGGAAAAGTGAAGAATGGGCTTCGTTTCCCTCTACAATTACCACGAAAGGTATTTCGTTTCGCCGCGCGTCGACAAGCGATACGTATATGCGGTCGACTCCACAAAATCGACTCGATGGCTCGAGGAAATTTTCGACTGAAATATTCCGGCACACGCACTCTCGTCATGATATTAGATTAATCTTTCCTCATATCCTACGTGCCTAGACTTTTTTCCCCCCGATGGACGCCTCCGCGAACATTCCATCATTCCAGATTAGAACCATCATCCGGACACGAAACTCGGGATCGAAACGTGAGTGGCACGCATACATATTGCACTCATTTCTCAGTCAGACGAGCGCCGGAGAAGCCGATCCGGAAAGCGTGACGTCCGAATGAAACCGCATTCGCCCAAGGCGACAAAGGAGCCGGTGGCGCATCGTTTGCCGACACGAAGCCGACGCCGACCCGATCCGGTCGACACGAAGCCGACTCCGACCCGATCCGGTCGACACGAGCCGGGCCGACATCATCCCCGCGACTTTCACGTCGGAGGCGATCGCGATCGCGATCGCGATTCCGCTTTCTCTCCTTCGGTTATCGCCTCATGCGATTCGAACGGCTGGAGAGTCCGATAAACGCAAGCCTTTCTAATCCCGATTCTCATTCCGACCTAGTTTTCGAGGGCGATTAAAAAAATATTATACACATGGATGAACATGGGTTGAGTCCTTCGAGACGAGGCGGGAAATCTGCTATCGGCAGACAGCCTGGGCACTGTCCTTGGGTACTTTTCCGTACTTTTCAGTACTTTTCCGTACTTTTCAGTACTTTTCCGTACTTTTCAGTACTTTTCCGTACTTTTCAGTACTTTTCCGTACTTTTCAGTACTTTTCCGTACTTTTCCGTACTTTTCAGTACTTCCTGTTCTCGCTCGATTCCGGATGCTCTCCAATTATATGCCTTCGCGCTAACACCCACATTTTCAAGGTACTTTCAGTACTTCCAACGTATTAGTACCTGCGACGTAAAGGAAAAAGTACGATAAGACGAGCGGAGTACATCGCGACCTTGCCCACCGAAATGGATTCCTTCCGGAATCGACGAACTCGTGACGAGCACGGAAGCGAGCGATCGGTTCCTGTGGGAAGCGTCTGCTTCTTCTGGTGCGGGTGGGCCGATGGCTTCAATCGGCTTCTCCTGGTCTCACGCTTGGAAGTGAGGCGGAAAAGGTTGGGGGGGGGGGGGCGAGGGCTTCGTCGGAGGGTCGAATGTATGGGGAAGCGAGGGAGCGATCGATCTCGCCAGGCCAAATTTTTAACTCCTGGACTGGGATCGGTGAAAACGACTTTTTTTTTGGGACATCGCCAAAGTCGACGGAATAAAAAAAAAAAAAAAAAAAAAAACTTGGATGCGGGAAACCAGACGACAGTCATTCACTCTCACCCTTTCCGTCGAGGTGCTTCTGCGGACAGGGTCTGAGGGATACGCTAAAGGTTTTTTTTTTTCTGGGAATGGGAAAGCGTCTATATTTTTTCTTGCCGAGGCGGCCGCCATCCGAAAAGAATCTCCCCCATTTCATTATTTAATCATAATTTCATGTTTCCGGACGCGGGGCAGTGGGAACAGCAGTGGGAACGCCAGTGGGAACGACGAAACGATTAAACGTCCCGAGCGATTTTCTTCCTCTCTCGTCTCTCCGAGAAAACGGAGAACCCGCTGGACTTCCGCTGGACTTCCGCGAGGCTTTCGAGCATCGACGGGGTATTCTATGCCTTGCTTAAAAAAAAATTAAGCACGAAAATCCGAGATGGTCACGAAAATATTCATCGAACAAGGATGCTGCATCTTGAATACAATTTGCGTAAAATATCCGCATCTGATATTCGAGTGAACGTGGAATACTTTGCTTTTCATTAAATACTTTAGAAAAAAAAATTGAAGGAATTTGTCAACGTGTTAAAGCCGAGAACCCTGCTGCTGGATCTGACAACCCTGCTGCCCGCGATTGGCAAGTTATCGATAAGTTAATTGATGGAAAGTCGACGAGCGCAAAATTTCTGATAAACGAATGGCATATTCGAAGTTTGCTTTATCGTTCCCTTTCTCCCGTCAGCTGGATTCGACAAGGAGTTTCGGGTTAACTTCACCTTTTGAGGATTCGAGAAAGAGGAAAGTGCCGTTTTGTCTCTCGTCACGATGAGACTGCATTTTCTTCGACCAGAACTCGGTGTTTCGGGGGAAAGGAAACGACAGTTTAGACACCGTTGGTCGATTATTGGGTTAAAAAAAAAGAAGAGAATGCGTTTCTCTTTGCGATGAGATGAATGTATATGCGGGAGTGAAGACCGACCGGTAGGAATGCGATGGGGGGAAAGCCTCTGACGTTTTTTTGGGCTCCGCGTCCTCCACGACCCCGATTTTCATCGTGATGCGTGGAAGATCCGCTGGAGATCCGCAGGACGCAGGGCTTTTTGGGTCATTCGTGTCGACGAGGAATGTTGCAGTTTGAGAAGCTGCCGAAAAATGAACAGGCCTCCGAGAACAGGCCCTCGAGAACAGGCCTTCGCATCTGATCGCTGCACGCCGAACTCGAGGAGCCGCTTCACGGGTGGCCTCCGAAATGCAGGGTCGAGCAGAAAACAGGGAACTCGAGTCTCCGAGTTTCACGATCGTCTGACTCCCTGGCATCCACCCACCCGGACACCCCCCATCCAGACATCCACCCATCCAACACCCCCCATCCAGACATCCATGCAGGCACCCCCCATCTCCACGCCCATCTCGCCCGCCAGACCGCACCGATGCCTAACTGATACCGACGCCCACCCGCCGCTTCCTCCCGATCCTCCGTGGATGTCTCACGATGACGTCACGGAGGCCATTTCCCTCCGAGGCGCTGCGAGGCAGCAGGCGTGACTGCAACCGCGCTGCAATACGTATTCTCCTTGCGTACACATCCAGAGTCTATATTTTTTATTTTATTTTTCATGCTTACTGACCGTACGGCATGCGCATAATTATGCGCGAATTACACGCCGTTGCAGCAATAAAATGCAAATGCCTCACAGTTTGAGCTCTTTGTCCGGGCGGTCCCGTGCGATGAAAAATCTCCTACGTTAAGCTTCTAATCTAGTTAAGCGAGAGTATTTCAGACTTAAGCATGCTGAATGACGAAGGCCTACGCATTGCAATGCCTCAACCTTCAAGAAAAAAAAAAACTATTTATTATATAACGTAATCTGTAATCGCTGATGAGGGTTTCACAGCTGCTTGTTTATTTACGTTGGAGACGCAGTTAATCAAAGTCTAGTAGAGTTCCTGAAGCTACAGAGGCCGTGGGGAATTTTGGCATTATGCTGATGAAAAGTGACAGTCACTTATGTACTGACAGTACTTATCGTACCGGCAATGAACAAATGATAATGATTCGTAACGGGGACGATTTATTTTGGTCCGTCAAATTCTTCATAAAAATTTGAATTTGAAAAATATATTCGAAGGAGCCAAATAATCTATAACTTGAATGCTTTTGTCGACGATATGGCCTACGATCCAGCTATAATTCTTAATATCGCTGGATCAGTCATGGCCTGACATGACCGGCGCTTTCTCCCTGACCCGCAGAGCACCCCCGTCCGAAGAGCGGCGCGGAGGGTGACGGATTATTATCATTTTTATTATACCTCGTGTCACGACTCACGTGTGAGAGGCAACGGACAACACCGGAAGAACGAAAGTGAGCCAATTGCACAACGGATGAACGGAATGAAATCAACCGCTTTGATACATCTGCGTCAGCTGGGGGGCATCGAGTGTTGCCCCGTTCTCGGTTTTTCCCTCGCTCACTTCTTTCCTTCGATCCCTACATGCTCCTTTTTTTCTGACAGCACGAGCAGTCTGAAGTCGAGAATGACCTGTGATAACTTCTCTCCGACCATTCCTTTCGTGTAAACATATTGTTTGAAGAGGAGCGGAAGTACGGAGGGAGCGGAGGATCGGGCAACCGTGGAGGCGGGAACGTTTGTGCTTGTGGCACTCGCAGGCGTAGCAAACGCAGCTGCTCACTGTGCTCAGTCGAGTTCCTCCTTCTCGCCGATGCAGTGCGTCGTCACGTTCGCTTGTTTCACGCCGAATTTCACCCTTCGCATGTATGATTGCAACTCACATTTCCCCTCTGCTCTTTTGTGTTATGTACCTTCTGTGTAGGCCTATGATAGTACTCGAAGCCCCCAGGCTGTGGCAGGTGCACGTGAATGGCTGCGAATCGTATCGACATTCCTCGATCGGTAGTGCATTAACTCGAATCCGTTTGAATTCTAGTATTGACCAAGGGGGTATCGGTGCCAAGGACGGCAGCGGGAATCGTATTCCGTGTCGCAATGCCTTTCGCGCGTGTAATGAGCCCCATGTTTATTATAAAGAGGCCCTACCTTAGAAGAACGGAAGAGGAGAGAGAGTTTAGTAACCCGGGGTGATTGATGAGGAGGATCTGAACAGGTCTAGACCGGGCATCAGACCTTCGGGCTTTCTTAACCGGTTTCATCTCTCTACGGTGACCCCAGCTAGCTGGCCTGAAACCAGAATCCCAATCTGCCCGGTCTTTGCCCTCGTATCCAGTCCATCTCTTTTCTTTTTCTGGTCCTTTCCAGTTGCAGTTATAATATCCCTTTCTTTCTTCCTGCTCGCGTCTTTTCGCATTCAGTCCACGGAAGAAGCGGAAAATTCGCGTACGTGTTTGATCTCCATCGAGGCATTTCGTTGCACACACATCAGCAATTCGTTTCAGGTCGAGAGCTTTCGCCTCCCCACGTGAAGCACTAAAGGAATTTTATCTCCATTTTGTAGGAAGTACCTTTTTTCAGTCCCCATCAGTATAAAAGTCAGGTGAATCCGACATGATGAGATACCAGGCTAGATGTATTCGATTCTCATTAGATAAATTTTCCTGGCTGAATTTCCCGCTTTATCTCGCGATTTGTAATGGGGTAATACATTCTTAGGTGAAGGAATGAATGATCGTGTGCAAAGCAAGCAAGAGTAATGGAAATGGGTAAAATTCCTTTTACAGGGTGTTACGTATGATGTTAAGGTTTCCATTTCTTGGATAAAAATCTAAACCCAGCGTAGAATAATCTTAAGATGCCCATTCACGTAATACACAGTTGATGGAGTCATTGACGTTGACACATGTTGACATTCGCCTTGGCGTTGTTGGAAATTTCACGTTGCAGTTGACGGGAGCGATCCTAAAGCGAGGCCGTCGGGTTGAGCTGTTCATGACCCGCAGAGAAGGCCGACACCGAAACTCCATCAACTGTGCAACGTCTTGAGCACGTAATGAATATTCTGCGATGCGGGGTCTTAAATTTTATCTTGGAATGAAACGCCGTAACATCTTATGGAACACCTTGTACAACCCTCTAATCCCTGTACAGGAAAAAAAAAAAACCGTTTTAAGTCCTCTAATAGAAAGGAGAGGTTGAGCCATAGCAGGCTATAAAGGTGACGCCAGGCTGGGAGCTATTTTTTTTCTCCGCTGTCTCCTTATAGGAAACCTAAATTCATGAGCACGTCAGAATTTAGGTCATCCTTTTGTGGCCAATCGTCTCCCTTTCAACGAACGTTGGGAGAGAAAGAGGACTTGAAGGATCCCGTCTTAGAGCGAAAGAGACCAATACAAATTGCCAAAACGGTAGCGATTCCTCATCCAAGGAGAAATGGACTGTTGCTTCGCGGTCATTGGTTCTAGGCTTAGTGTCGGCCGGATTTCCTCTCGGTCGGAAGGAAATGGGAACAGAAAGAATGTTTCCAAGGAGAGAAAGAAAGACAGGCGATGTGGAAATGATGAGTGGCGACTGGTGGAATGCGACAAGGTTACGGCGTTGCACATGTACATGTGTCCCCATTAGGAGTTCTCCTTCCTTTTCCTTTCTTTCTTACATCAGCATGGGAGCAAGAACGCGCGCCAGAAGATGGAAGAAAAAAATAGAGTCGCAGATGAAATATAGCGGTTCCCAGACATTTTCGGGTAGTGACACGTTCCGTTTCAGAAGCCTCATGATCATAATTTTTACGAATGACAGAAGGAATGTCATTATTTTCTAAGGTTTTCTGTTTTTTTTTTTAGGTAGACATAAAACAAAAATGTACAAATTGAAGGATTCCAAGTCGATGAGACACCTCATGGCTGTAAACTATCCAAGCTTGCCTTTCACCCCAATATAGGTAAAACTACGCTTGAATGAGTGCGTGGCACGCGTTGGGGGAAGATGTAGTGGCTGTCCCTTCCTTGAATTGCCTTAAAAAGAGGTCAGATGCCTTCACGAACAAGAAAAGGGTGACTGCAGCCATAAATTACTCGACAGTATTACTCTTTCCCGCGAAAGATATATCTCAAATGGGCGCTCGACCTTGACTCGTGATGTCAATATGAGCAGGAATACCTCTTGGCACCCTAACCTCGAAGCTTGTTCATGATGAACCTTCTTACAGCAGGTCACCTGTGCAGTAATCATAATGAGAATTCGCAAAAAGAGTTTTTTTTCGTAATGCATTGTACTATTTTTGTCGTGCAGCAATAGGCTCGCGTGCATCCACATTTCCACGTTCGATGCTCACTTAGAACTGACTGAGGATGAAACTGGACAAGCAGGTACAGGGTAACCCTTCACAAATGCAATCTGGGACGCATCTCGGCAGATAGAGCCTGAGGCAAGTTGTTGGCCAAGTGTGAAGGCTTTTCAAAAAATTAATTAGCTACCGTTCACGTACAGTCATCGTTCGCGGCCAGCCACGTAAAGGATGTTATTTAGCCTGTAGCGTAACTGAAAATGAAAAAGTTTATCAAGCAAATAGGATTCAGTCTACGTGTTGCTACTCAATCAACTGTCGCTATTTGGAGACGGGCAACTGTTAATTTGCACCTCGGGAGGAAGTTAACGAATGTCAACAGGAAGCTATATTCCACGCTAGGTCTTGTATTTAAACATTGGTTTTTTCTTACATCCTTTCATGTATTTTAAAGCTGCTGTTCACTCTCCATTCCAGGTTGATGGGATAGCGAGACGATGTACGGGACGGTGTCACCTCGACCCCACGTCCATCCTCCGCACAAGATGAACGGGTCCATCTTGTCAGGGCGAGGGACCCCCCACCACAACATGTTGAATGCGTCCATGACGACCAGCCCGCATCCGGTGCTGTTGAACGCGTCCAAGGCGAGCAATCACAGCCCGGGCACGAACACGACCGTGTTAGAATCCGATCAGCCGGTCACCCGGGTCATGAGGATTCCCCTTAATTCAACGCGGATCATGAATTCCCCTCCGCCGCCACCTCCTCCGAACCGGAACTTGGTGTCCAACTACTTCTTCCCCAAGTCGTTTGGTGTTCGCGAACACTTGGTGGCACTGTGTCTCCTGTGCGTGATCTCGTTGTTGTTGTCCCTGTTGGCCCTGGTGTTCCTGCTCCGGGTATCCCGGTTCGAAGGGCCGAGGCATCTACGCGAGGAGTTCGATCCCTTCCCCATGTTCGGGGGCGAAGATGGATTGAGGAAGGAGGAGTGGATGCTGATGCACGAGCTCAGCTTGGCCTTGACGGCCTTGACCTTGTCCTTGGACATCTGCTGCCTCCTCGTCTCGGCCGTCCAATTCGTCTTCGCCGTGAAGCTCCTCAAGTCCCCCCACGGACAACTGAGGTACGTCGACTCGTTTCTTCCTCTCGAGGCTCGGGGTTCGCGTGGAATACCTACAGGGATTTACTCAAAAGTCTTGATCATGAAATCTGCTGGTATGCGACATGCTTTGACAGATTTTTCCAAATCAGCTCACGAAAACAAATTATGCACAAACATTGCGAGTGGTGTTCTAGAAGTAATGAGGAAATTATGTCCCACTGGATAATCTTATGCCTAAGCATCAGGGTTGGACTCTCTGATGTCTGTCTCTTCTGCTTCTGCTAATTTAAAGACCCTTTCGAGAAAGTTTGCTCAATTTAACCCCAAGCATAACACACAGCTCTTGAAAGCCGGTCGATTTTTCCTAAAACTTAAAAAACCACACAGCCGTAAATAGGAGCATGAACGCCATTAGCTTGCACTAGCAGCTTTTGAAAATCATTGCAACAATTCAACACTAAAAGCAGTGGCATATTAAAAAAAAATTTTTACAAATAGTTTCTCGCTCATGAAATAATCCGAATGATAAACACAAAGAAGCGAGCAGGAGTTAAGTAAGGGAAAGCTTTTTTTCCTTAAGGGTTCTAAAATTGAGACAAGATAAAATATGTAGAGGGAGGCTAGGTGTTTTGTATAGGAGTCACAGCCAGAATTGAGACATAATTTACCAACCTAGGCAACTCAGCGCAATGATTGCCATATTCTTTCTTCCTTTTATTTTTTTTAAAGCACCCATCGTATTTTGAAGGGGAAAAAAAATTGGGTATTAGAAGTCAGGAATAATAATTGCAACGTCTGTGAGCACAACACAATCCCGATTGTAGGCCTATCGCACTGGATGAAATAATCCTCTTTCGTACTCAACCCAGCTGTGGCAATGTCGGTAGTTCGTGAATTTTCCAATTCATCCTAGAGTTTCACGGGGAATGGGGCAAACCCCTGAAATGGGTAGTATCCATGAGTTATTGTCTGGCAGCTTTCTTATCACACAAAAGAGTTTTTTTTTTTCCTTTTTTCTTTTTGTCGGTAAAGAGACAAATGAGGAAGGGTGTTGAAAGATGTTTTGGTCGTGGTGGGCCGAGGCCCGGGCCACACCATTGTCCTTGGTCTGCAAGGGGGAGGGAGAGTTTGACACAATCCTGACAGGTGGAGATAAAAAAAGAAGAGAGAGAACTTCCATTAAGGCAAGTCCTAGTGCATTACGGCTGCATTCCACCGTCGCCTACTTTTACGGCGGAGGGAGAGACAAAAAAAGGAGACAAGTCCTATGCATTCTATTCGAGTCCCTGGAGCACATTGAGGAAGAAGACATGGAGGACCCGGAGGGGCTTCGAAAGAGCCGTTATATAGGATACACTTGCACATATCCCTAGGGGAAACGAGAAAAAAAAGGAACGAAAATAAAGAGGTGGTCACATCTCATCGCTCTATTCCCGCCACCCCTCGGGGTATAGCCTTTTCTCTCTCTCTCTCTCTCTTTCTTTCCTTCCTCCTCCTCTTCCTCCTTGTTCCTTGGTATTTGATTTTTATTAGCCCTTGGCTTGGCTCCGCTACCACTGCGGAACAAAGGACTCGGGAAGGATAGGTTTCTTCTCTCTTCGATGGGGACGGCCTAGGGTTTGTAAAGGAATGTTGCGCGAGGGAAGGAGGAAATAATTCTAACGGAAAATCAACCTCTCTCTCTCACAAGGGAAAGGATTGACCTGGATTCTTCAGTCGACAGAAACGTGACTTGGAATGGATTGCCGCTGTTCATTCCTTCCGGCTACCAGCCCTCTATTCTTTATCTAATAAAGAAGCCAGCCTAAGACTTAATTCTGCTGGATATCTACCACCTCCTGCAGGTGTGGTCGACTTGACAGTATTATTTTGGAGAATCCACTTGATGCAAACATGTAAACCCCGAGTTGCAAACTCAAAGAGAATCATATGAGCAGATCATCCCATACAAAACCGTCTCCACCACGCCGGCGCATGGAACACCATCCGCCGGGCATTCCTATACATGAGATCAGCGCATACCCTCTATTTCCACCTCTTTTCTCTGAAACCAGTTTTCAACGCACATCATCCCTATCGTTTCACCGCTTCACACCCTCCATCAGCACAAATAAAGGATGCCCCTCGCATTCCAATCCCAAAGCTACAAGAACAGTGCAGCATGCCCCCCACCCACGGAGTTGGATTTCGTGGAAAAAAGACTCATCCGCGTACCGAGGCCATTAATTACGTCAGTGACTCACTCGTGTCCTGCAAGTTCTGCACGCACAGAGCATCTGATTTCAGATTTTGACAAACCACATGAAACTGGAGAAGCGCTTCGACACCGAAAACAGTGCAAATCTAGTACACTGCCATCATATTCTGGAACACCATGAAGTGATTTGGTATTGCTCATATGCTTCATACGGTACCCCCGTCATGAACTCCCCAGAAATGAGGTGATTGTTTCAGTATTAAAAGAAAAGCACGGAGATCCCAAATTTTGCTTCGAAAAGTTATTCCGGAAGTTTTAAGTAGTCCCTCAACGAAACAGAGCTTTTCCCGATGCCTTCTAATACGGAGCGGAAAAAATACATTTGCCAGAAAAACAACTTCCCTGGTGCCCCACTAGAAAAATCCGGTGACTAATCCTACTCAAATGCCCGTGACCCACGATCCCCGAAGATTCACCACTATCTCCATCTCTTCCCTTATGAAACTAGCGCCCCACGCGCACCGTACTAATAGGACGCCTATAAGAACGAACCAAACTGTAAGGCCAGTCGTGAGCATCCTACTGGGCAAGCGATACGACAGGTACGAAATATGTGACACTTTCAGCCTGCATTGGGTACAGAAATTATCTATAAACGGATGAGCGAGTATGAATAATAATGACTTTATTAGGTCGTACCTAATAAAGGCGTCTGACCCAAAATGACCAGGTCGTCCTGCATTTTGTGGAAAAGTACCGGTACGTTTAGTTAACTTGAAGTTGCTGTTTTGCCTTCCCATACAAAATTTCGTTTGTTGCCACCGGCGATTCGCAAAAATTGCCAGCTGAAGCACACCGACTCATTAGTTCCAGTTTTTCTGCATGTTAGTGGTTTTTTTTGTCTCTGTGCTTCGATTCTGACAGTATTGTAATTTTGAAGCACTCATCAACTATTGTCAAAAGAGATGAGAAAACATGGGATCATATTTTATCGGAATCGCCCAATAGGAGGGGTGCTTACATTATCGAAATGATGAAGCCTTTGTGAGGCTGTAGAGCGGCACTGTCTGCAGCAGATAAAAATATATGGCTTTTCCAAGTAGTTGGCATGGACAAGTCCGAGACTCACGTTGGAAAAGATACGGATGTCTTGATGATTTCTCAAGTTAAAAAGGGGTAGAGAAGTCCAGACTCCTCAAAACAAAACAAAAAATCGGCCTTAAGTGACCGAGAGAAAACAAATGGTAATGTGTGGTTAGCCAGCCTGACATCGACACTTCCTCTGTGTATCTTCCAGTCGAAGCGAACTCGAAGGCTGCGATGACTGATGGGGGGATGGACTGTAGAGAGGTTTCCGCCTCCACTTGCCTCGCGGCTATGCCACTCGCTTATCTATTCTAAGATGTTGACGCGATGTCCCTGTTGCAATTGGCCCCTGTTCCGTTGCAAGTACTTAGAATCAATCCTCATCTGGAAGAGAAAAATAACGGTCTCTGGCTTCAAAGACACGAGAGTCTTTCCAGCCAATATTGCGAAATGGGACGGCCCGTATGTTTTCAACAAGATCTAATCTCTCTTTTCCGGAGTGGGTTTCGCCCAGCGTAGGTTTATTTTTCCTTCCCCTCCCATATTAAATCTGAAGCCATCCGGAAGAAAGTCGGTATGTCGGCGACACCGAGCTTCACTAGATGAAGAAACTCCCGTTATCGAATAAGATTCACACGATGCACCGGCTGGAGGTAAACGTAACCCAATCTGTTTGTTGATACCAACCCGTCTCATACAACTAAAACGTTGTGCCAGGCACATCTATACCGAGGAAAAAAAACTTGCTTGTTGAGAAAAGCCCCTTTCCCATGGGAATTCGGGCGGGCAACATCTGGCCTGGAATACCGGGGGAAGTTTTCGTCGTGAAGGGAGGAGGCTTTTCCCCTGTCCACGTGGAAGTCATCATGACGGACGGGCGATAGCAACTGCACCTCATTCATCACTCATTCTGCATTCATTCATCATGACTCTTAGACCCACGCACTCCCCCCACGAAGAGAGACTGCCCCAATAATGACTCCCCTTCGTGTGGGGGGATAAGTGCATAAAACGGGGGGCATCTCTCCTCGGATCCCCCGAGGGCGTCCACGTGTTCTGCATGCGTGACTCCTTAAGAGGCGTATGATAGTACGCCTTCGGGAAGAAACCAGTCTCGTCTCTGAAAATGTCAGGCAGACAGACAGACAGACAGACCCAGACTGATTCCGTCTTGGATCTCGAAGTGCTTCGGAACGGAGACTGAGGAGAGACACACGATTCCCATCAAGTGGCCTAATGAGATCGTGCCTGCTCCATTATCCATCGCATACATAAGCCTAAACGCCCCTCCTTCTCTCTTGCCCTTTAGTTTTTTCCCCGATTACTATTATTCCTTCAATTTTAGCACATGGTTTCCAGAGATTTCATTTTTTTCTCTCCCCCAGGACGGCGAAGTACCTGAAGGACTCGTCGAGGAGCCAATCTTGCGCCATCGGAGGATTCTTCCTCTCTGTCCCCATTTTCCTTACAGGTACGCACAATCCCTTCTAAAATTATTCCCCGTGGAAAGCATAGGGATAAACACCAGAAGACTGCGAATGCAAGGTAAATGGCTCACATGAAGAGAATTAGCTGCTCATGAAAATCATTATATGCCATCGTGGCTTGATACGTCGTATATATACATATATATATATTACTACTCGCATTGCATGTCATTTGCAATGCGAATTATCGGTCATGGATATCTGTGACCTTTCCCATGTATGCAATTTCCTTTCCCAGGAATTAATTACTATCATCAGAGCCCTTTAAGAATTTCTTTTTGGATTTGAACCACAGCGTCCGCAGCCCTGTGGAGGGTCTAATTGTTGCGACAGGTAAAGACCACCAGTCGTGTATTCACCACGGGGGGAATACATTTGAAGTACGAGGAATGCCACTTTTCAATCACTGTTGGAAGTTTCAAGTGAAATATATTTCACAGCAGATTTTAGTGCTGAAAAGACCATGCGAAAGGTCACCAGCTACCCAGTCTGCACAAGGACATGAGTATATGTTGCTATTTTGGGCGAACATTGAGAAAATGCCGCCAGAGCATTACCGAGGAAGTGAAACTTCACGACGGCATCAATTTGAATTGAGATTTCAGTTGGCGACGTCATTACATTGGGGTTTCAAAAATATTTATTTCACACATCGCGTTCGACGTTTTATACGCGTTACCTTCATTATAGTGTACTTTTTTTAAGAAGAAAAATAAAGAAGAAAATAATTTTTGAAGGATATTTCCGTTAGAAAAAAGGGAGACCGTAATGTTTTACTTTCCAATAGGAAAATGAGAGCAGCGAAGTTTACAAAAGGAAACAATTCACTTGGTGTGGAGATATCTACTCTTTCTAAATATTTTGAAATTTACAACTAATGATGAACAGTAAACATTTCTCAGTGATGCGTCATAGATGCAATTTCAACTAATGCAGCATTTCTAGATTTATTTTTTTTTGTGAGAATATGGCATGGAGAACTCAGCTCGAAGCCTTCTTTTTTATTTTCGGTCGTTTTGTTGCTCCCCCCAGAACTGTGACAGCAAATAATATTTTCCTCCTAGGCATTCGTGAATTTTAAAGTCACTCCAATCTCCAGTGAGACAAACATGATTACCTGATTAATGTCAACGAGTAATAAATGCATGGTTTTTCGACTGCAATCATCCCCATCTCCATTTTGAGATAATGGGGTACAGGAGAGAGGAATTTAAATCGTGCAACACTGCAATCTCTCTTCATTATGGTAAATTGGGGTACTTTGAAGGCGTGTCGCACATGACTGTAGCGGCATACTAGTTTAAGCATATCCAAACCTTAATAATGGTGATTTCGTGAAAATTTGTTGCTTCCCATCTTGTATGATTCCCGTTATCCGATGTCCTTGGGGGATAGAAGCTCACGTAGGCTGCCGCAGTGTCGTGTGTACGCAAGACAACTTTATTTTCTAAAAATTCCTGTGAATCTCAGAGAATTTCCTACTCACCCCTGCTGGGGTCATTCATGAACAACCATGGATTGAACCCAAGGGTGATTGATTGCAAGGTTGCATGGCAGATCCTCGCTGCCCTCACGAGAACCCTTGCACAATATAGAATTACATAGTTCATGGCAGATAATCTTAGCCTATTCAAAATGATGCGTCAGAGGGCTGTCAAAGTTTTCCACCAACTCCTCTCCATTTTCGGCTTGGTATTCCTCCTACTAATGCGCTTTCAGAGCAACACAGACGGAACTTGAAAAATAAAAATAATTATATGAAAACAAGCCTTGCATGCTAATGAGAAAAAATCTCCGCCCAACACTGTAGACAAGAGAAATAGACTCAAATGCTGTAGTGCCTCTTTTTTTGCTGAATCATGCTGGCTAGAGGAGCGGCTGGATAGTTGAAAAAAGAAAGTCCCGATCGAGACTGAACATGCATCAATTTGCATCAATTCGGGTCATCGAAGTTCCCATCCTTTCACAGTCTTGGGCTTTTCCAAGTCAGGTTGAGGGAGACAAAAGTTCGTACCTAAGTTGTACTTATTAAGATGGGGCGACTCGAGTCGTTTGCCTCCGAGTGAAATATTTTTCTATCCTCGCCTCAATCGTATATTCTCGAGGATCTCTCATTGTATTTATTTCAGAGATACAGGCTTTAGATTGAGATGAAGGAGCTTCCCGACGTCCATTCCATTCTCTCGTTAATGTACCTGTAAGTGGGATCTCTGTTCCCTCATGTGGCATCTAGTGCCGGGCGAGTGAAGGCCTCGCACAGACGGGAGCGAATCGCGTGTGCGGTGGGAATCAAGTCGCTTTCCCTTTACCCTGCTGGTTTTCTAGTGCTTTATTTTAAGGTAAATTTTCTTTAAAACGGCGAGTGAGAAAACTGCCGGTCTGACGGTGCCTTCCGTGAATATGCTGTGGCATACATGATTAAGCATCCAGTGGCGTTGTTTTGCAGGTGTGATCCTGTACACCTTCATGCATTTCCATTCCCGGTCGGCCATTGTCACATCTATTCTCCTCGGTTTGGGAGTCTTATTCTGCGGCATTGCTATGATCCACAACGTCTACATATGGCAAAAGGTTTGTACGATCCTCTCTTTCCTCTTCGTTCATAAGAAATTCGATCACCGATAGATGAAGAGTTCTGCAGTTCTCATAACCGCATGACTTCTTGCTAGGCTTGGAATTCCGACTGTTGAGAGCAATTTTTCTGGCTTTTCTGACAAATCATGTAGTGACTGTTTTTTTTTTTCATAGTAATATTCAAGTAGTTTCTGTTGATAATCACAATTATTATTGCTAGCTTATAGAGTTGTCACCAATACCAACATTTCATATATTCTGATATTTCAGTTCTGAAATATGGAACTGGCCTATCCTAGAACCGAACGAATACCAGGATGTACACCTTGCAAGTCACAACTCAAAATGGACAAGTCACAAAAAAATTCCTAGCCATGCGTGGTTTCATAGTTCTTCCCCTCCTCCCCCTTCACGATCAAATTATTCTGTCTTCAATTGCATATGCATATGTAATTAATTGCGTGTTCTCGAAGTCAGTCACATCATTCAGAATACAGAGCAAAAGCTCTCAATTGGCAATGGAGTCACCAAATTAAGTGTTGCTCGTAATGATTTAACTATCACTGATGCAACCTCATGAACAGCTTATAATTATGCACATTTAGCCTGGCTGCCTATACATATATATTTGCCATTGGTGTTGGGAAGGAAAACGTGAATCAACATTAAATTTTGCAGGACAAATCACTGAAGCTGGGGACTCGGGGTTACAAGAAGAAGAACCGGACACGGAGTCCCATTCCACCAGTGACCATCTCAGGTCCCTTGGAACTGAGTGGGATCTCGTCCACCCACGCACACGAACTCTCCACCCTCGTCTAGTCCGTCACATGTCCCAGAGAAATTGCGACACGTCATGCCGCACGTGTCACGATGCACAAGAGACGTCGAAATTCCCAGGATATTCCGACAATTCTATGCAATATTTTTTCATACAGACATTCATTCATATCTGTGATGTATTCAGATTCAGAAGCCCTGAGAACGTGGTCTCCCTGGGATATTACTCTTTATCTCCAGGATATGCAGTACAAGTGAAACGTGTTTTTATTCGTTCCTCTTTTCAGTGTGGAATGCTGAGAATGAAAGTGACCTTTTCACGTGATATATATAGCCTTCTTTCATCCCTTGGCTGCAGTTATACGTTCAGCAATAGATCGGTTTGTAAACATGAGATACGACTCTGTCAGAGCATGGAAACGAGAGATGAAAGCAGGTTTAACCGACAGGGAAAGGACAACTGGAAGACCTGTTGAGAGCTATTTGTAAGTGTAAGGAGAAGAGTAGAAGGAATTTGGCGTATCAGATGACTCGAGGAAGATAGAGCGAGCCCAATTTTTCTTCTTCAGGCACTCTATGTAGGATCCACATGCCTTAGTTCAGGGGTGCACAACTCAAAAGACTGTGAGATTCAATTGCAATATTAACTCACCTACCGCAGGTCGCAGCCCGACAGACGAAAGCTGTGGCCAACAGAGCAGGAGCCATAGTAGCACTTACGCCACCAGTCATGCCGGGCCGCGGGCAGTCATATTGTGCACCCGTTTTAGCTAGTCTGTTGTCTCCCTGATTTCGATGATACAACCCTTCCCGATACTTGCTCCCTAAGTTTGACAGGAACTCACTGCTCGTAGGAGTTCAGCAGATTCAGTCATGCATCACCTCCTTTGACAACTTCTGCCTCAATATTTTATCTCTTCCGCTTCTCTTGAACTTTTTGAGATGAAACCGAATATTAGACATGGCGACTGAAGCACCAAAAATCCCCCATTGCAAGTGCTTGTGGTTTTCAAAGGTCCATCCTAAAAGCTTCAATACCTTCCAGGACTACTTCCTCTTCCTAATGGCCATCTCTTCTGTCTTCATGCTTACTTGCGGAGGCCATCGGGAGTTTCAGTGGGTCTCTCCCAGATAGTGTGCATTCCTGCGCTGACGATGCCAGGGGAAAGAGCAGGAACGAGAGCCACCTTCAACTCCAACTCCAACTCTCAAGAAGTGACCAGGGAGTGAAGGAATGCTGGGAGATTGTTCCGATGAGAACTTTCTTATAAAAAGAAATTAGGTTACGGCTGTCATGGTGTCAGAAAAGTCCGGTTTTGGGGAAAATGGATCCAATGGTACCACCTTAATTAGGATTGATTGCTAAGGGAGGTCTTTGAGGAGCGTTGAACAATTAGTATCTTTTTTGACATTGCCAAGTTGAAGGATGACTTCCTTCGTGCATGATGAATGCAGTAATTGGCCATGGGCCAAGCGAGCACTCTCAGTCCTCAAAGAAGGAAGCATGTAACAACACTGGCTTAATAACTCGCCACCCAATATCTCACAGTCTTCCTCAACACCATTATCCTTTTATGACCTTTCGCGATAAAGTTGTCAGGTAGCATCAAGCAAGGGGCAGGGATACCATTTATTTTGAGACTGGTGTTTCTGCATCACTTGCTACCCTTCGCGAGAATTATCTCCAATGTTTGAATCGATTCTGATGCATGCTATCTGACTCAAGAGAATGACTTTCCACATATATGCATTTTTGCCAATATTTCCTTCAGTACCAAGAACCCATACATACATATGATAGAGTTGATATATTTTCATCGATAAGGTATGCCTGCATCAAGTATCTGTAAACTGAGTCCAATAGTCTACCTCCCTTGTTTTTGTTTCCAGTATGCTGGTATGCCATCCAGTCTTATTTGGACTGGGTGAGAATCTTTCCTGACAGGACAATCCATCATTTTTGGATTGACAAGAGAAAGACGTCTGGTGAAACAATTTCTAAAAACACAGGATATTTGACTGAGGTAACCATGAATGTATTTATTAAAATAAATACACACTGAAATTTTCACTATTTTATGCCAGTACTATTCAAAAGGATTATTGAAAAGAGCTATTACTTTGCCACTGTCTCCTTTGATTGGAAAAGCCCCCAGTCATATTTGAAGCATAAGCCTAACTGCTAATCAGTCACTTAACATGACCTTAAAATGAATCTTCCTCAAGGTATTATGCTTGATAGCTCACAAGATTCCCAGCTGGCTTGAGGACTACTTAGAAGCACACTTTTTCTGATAATAATGAAAGATTTCCCTAAAAGTCCATGTTAAAAACAAACCCATTACTTGCCTAGTTTAACAATGAGAGAACAATGAATCTTTGGTCACTGATTGAGTTCCTCACTGTTCCTGACTGATAACTTTGAAGTACTTACATAAGGTTTTTCCATAGAGCAGCACAGCATGTATTCTCTAAACAGAGGTAGTTATAGTCTTGACATGGTTTCTGTAGGTTAAGGTAACTTGATGATCTTCAAAATGACTCACAAGTAACTCTTGCTGATGACACTGGGATTCTACCAATGAGTAAATATGGGGAAACTTGCTCAATGAAAAAAGAGACTTGTCTGATTATCATGAGGGAGATTTTATTGTATTTGCATCCAGGTGATATTGAGAGTAAGAAGTTGAACCAACACAACCAATATCTTGTTAAATCAATGTTCAAAATGTAGACACTAGGTCTATAAGAAAATAGAAAATCTGGTTCTGATGCAGTTCTTTGAGAAGATAAATCATCTAGTGAGAAAAAGTGTGGATGGAAGGGTGTTTATAATAAGTCCAGAGGGAAGAAGAAAATCAATATTTTCAGCACTATAAATAGAGTAAAAAAAATTAACACTCCTGTATGTGGTTTTCAAGTGTAATAGAATATTAAGATACTTGGCAGAGTAGTTTAGTCTTCATTCAAAATTGCTGTCTTTTTCCACATAGAAAATAAAAAATATGAAATATAAAAACATGAAAATGCTCAAAGGTTCATTCATTACTATTTGAAAGGTGCCAGATCCTTGCAACTAGAAACCACCTCTGCCTTTCCTATCATTATTACCTCTTCTTCATGCTCCATACATTTCTCTTCAAAGGAGAATAGGTAGTAAATTAAATTCTGTAAATATGCCAGTAAAATGTTTAGACATCTAGCTGGAGTGCAATATGGACCTTTGGCCTCTTGGTCTGCTCTGCAATTGTGACATGAAAATGAAATGTTCCCATTCTCACCTGGTTTTGAAGCTTTTCCTAAGGGATTTGGATCCACTTTGCAAGTGGTGGAATGGCAGACTTGAGGGTAAGCATGACGTAAGGGGAAGTTCCTTTAAGCCATTCCATTGGCATGATCCTAAAATTGGTCCTAAAATTCAGTCTCAGTTGTCTTGCATGACACTGCTTGAAAATGAAGGAATGGTTCAAAAAGGTTTTCATAGGTTGATTTATTGAGTGATAAAGCAACAAAAACTGGGAAAAAGTATTCTGATGTCAAGGTAACAAATGTGAAAATGTTCTTCTATGGGGATATGCCTTCCCTTGTCATAAATAATTCATTTTGTGAGGGTCCTATAAAGTGTGATGAGAATGAGGAGAAAGCTAACACAAGTATGGCTTTGGAACTGTGATATATGGTGAAGAAGAATCCCGCAGAGAAAAATGGGACATCTGTGAAGGTGATGGGCCACCTGCACTCCCTGCAAATCAAATATCAGTCCACTATATTGATATCATATCTCATTTAAAATATGCATAACAGTGACTCTTGAATTACTCCATAGTGTGATAGTGCATAACTGGATGGAGGAAATAAATGCAGCTGTACCTTTCTATATAAGAAATTGAAAAGACAATGTTTCTTGCTCTGTTCTGTTGGTTGTGTGCCTACTTGTTTGTTTTCGTTCTCTTGCCTGCCTGGTCAATTTAGCAACTTTGGTGTACTAATGACTGTGATGTTTCAGTTGATGAAGATATGACATGGAGGCATGGGTCATGTCAACTCCTGATGACGCTCTTCTTCATGTTTGCACCAAGTGATATTGTACCTTTATCAATAGTTTGATGAAGATAACAGCTTCTGACTTACGTCATACCAAGCTTTCAGCTTGTGTTTAAAAAAATCACATACTATACCATACGGTCAAGAGTGCATCCAATCATTTAAACTATTTTTAAAGTGATGGGTTAGGTGGAAAATAGTGATGAGCATCATCTTCATAAAAATTGAGTTATTGCATATTGTATCTGTCATAATTTACAAGCAAATAAAAAAATTACCACCATGCAGGTGGTTGAGGTGGTCTCAAACTTCCACTTGGAAATGTTGGTCAATAGACATCTCAAACGTTGAATTTGGTGGTTTGTACTAATCCCTTGATCAACTTTGCACTTATCTCTACAGATTCTTAAGTCTCAAAGATTGAGAATGAAAGTCAATCTGATAAAATTACATGAAATAGTGCAAACTTCCAGTTAAAAAAAATCACATTTTGACAGGAAGAGATCATGCATATTGGAAGCAGTCTATGACAGCTTTGACAGCAATGAGCTTCTATTATTGGGTTTGAAAAGCATTTTGCTATCCATCTGCAATATTCCTCCTGTCGGCTATAGTATTTCATCCGGCTTAAAGCCTTGCTGTCTGCCTCACAGAGAGATGGAGAAAGATGGAGATGGAAGATGAAGACACAGAAACATTCCCTTCCATGTGGTGTGATATGTGAGTGTACAGTGAGAATCTGAATAAGGAAATCTCTTTAGTTGGCATAATGTCCAGGTGGAAATATACAACACTACACATGCATGAGGGCCATTCAGAAAGTGAACAGATGGAGGCGCAGAGCTGTCACAATTTGCATACTTCATTTGATGTGGTCAAATGTGTGTTCCAAGAATGAATGAAGTTCATCTCACATACAGCTCAATTTTTCTTTCCAGAGCCAGCTGCCTGACAGGTGACAACTATAATCATGTGCCTGGCTTCCCCTTAATATGATTCACCTCAATTCTTCTTATGCTAATTATATTAGACCATAAATGAACACAAGACCTCTTCTGCATGGATGGCCTTCTCAGACCTGTATAAAACCTACAGGCTAACCATAACCAGTTCATTGTAGGTCTCCATAACTTTGTTATGCATATCATAAGATACTGTTCATCACATATACTATATATATCTTGTAGACATGATAAAAGGCAAAATAACCTTTACATACTGATTCCAACCATGTTGGAATCTGCATGTAAAGGTTCTAACCATGAGTTCATGCTCATGGGAAGGGAGGGAAATGAGACCTTCACCAAGTTCAAAAATTGCCTTCCATAGCATAGTACATCCTAATCATATGCATTTACTCAACACACATAATCTGCTAATACCACTTTGCCTATGAAGAAATGTTCATTCCTTCACTGCAAGATACTTTCATGCTGCAGGCCATTTATTTCAGAAAAGGCATGCCTTTTGACAGGTGAAAAACAGTCTCAATCATACCATGAGCTAAGAAAGTGATTCATGTTCTCAGAAACCCAGAGAACTCTTGAGCCCATTGTGATGCTGACATGCAATATCACAACCTCTATTGCCATGTTGGTGGATCTAGCGCAAGGCAATGAGATGGAGAAACAAGCTTTGATTGTCAGCATGAAGAGTTCATTGTGATGACTTCACTGAGACCAAAAGCATGTAGCAGCAGTAGATCACTAACCTCAAGAAATATGAAAAGGATGCTCAACATAAAACTGTATGATACCCAAAGGATATTCATATTCATATTATTCATTTTTCTTTCAAGTTATGCTTAGCATGATATTTACTGTGACATAGTATCACAAATTCATGGATTTCTTAATAAAGAGGAAATTATAATTATTACAATTACAAACAAAAAAAATTACTCTAGGTAGTAGCAATGTTCAACCTCATTTTAATACTGACGATTATGGTAAAAAAAACATATATATATGTTTGAATCAAAGAATTTGGACAAACATGTGGCCTGCATGAAAAGACTGACCCAAAGGGATTCCTCTCAGCATTCCAGTACTACTAAAAGACACTTATGATAATTTGAATCCATTAACACCACAGTAACCCAGATTCATTTATTATTTTTCCAGTAAGGTGGCATGCATGGCTTTCTTTTTTTCCCATCTGCAGTATGGTCTGGATTTTTCATATCAGGTCTTGGAGCCCAATTAAAATAAAAGATTTTCTTAGTTTCATAAGTCATCTGTAACAAACTAGGCCATTACTTGCATACAATAAAAAGTAGCAGAATCTCCTTTCATCTCATACCTCATAAGAAAACATTTTGCTTTTGTGCTTAGGCATGAATGAGATACCCCACAATGTACTTTGATAATTAAGGAAGTATCATACTGGTATCTGAGAACTGTTTTGATAAATGCATTTGAGCTGTTTTCTTCTCTACTTACTATGTAGCTTTCACCTTACATACAAAAGTCATTTTAGGACACAGGGGGGAAATAATTCTGAGAGGAAAAAGCCATCATGTCCTTGGTTCTACTCATCCAAAAGGAATAATAAGCACTTTGATATAATGGCATCATTTGATAATTCAACACTTTGACTTGGCCTCACATCACAAGGTACCATTTACCACTGAAACACTGGATCATTTTATGACTTCTAATGATAACACTTCATAAATGAAAAAATTAAACGTATTTCAAAGTCATCTGGATGGCCATGATGACAGGAGGGGGGAGGGATAAGGAAAAGGAAAATGGGAATCTCTCTGCCTGAATGATATCAAATCATATTATTGGGGGAGATTGTCACCAATACCCTAGAACAATTCACAACATAGCATGGGCATGGTTATGGTTTTTGCAATGATGATCAGGTGTGCCTAATATGTGAAAGGTGGGTACTTCAAGGTAACAACAGAAATTTGGTGCAGATAAAGATGTTAGGGAATGAAGTTGACCTACATAAAATATGTTTCTGTAGCAAAGGTATACTATCCACTGTAATTTTTACCATATGTACCTTTACCATAGCATACGATAACCCTAGGAGTCATGCAAGCAGGGACTCATATCCAGACTGAGAGAGACAGAGGGAGTGAATCCACTCACTAAAGGTGGCAGGGTATGGTTGTAAAGCAGGAGATGGACTAAGAGGTTGTCCCATGTGTTTCCCATGTTCCACAACTTCCACCAAGATGGCCTTCCCACGGAAACGAGTCCCGTCTAGCTCCCGTGTGGCTTCAACAGCTGTCATATAGTCTGGTAGCGTCACATATGCATTTGTCCTGTGCAAAAAAAGGCAGAGTAATGTTTGAAGAGTTGACAACCTAACTGCAGCATCAGTGGGAACTAGTTACATGCTATTGGGTATAAAACCTTCACAGGGAAGCCATAATTTGGTAAAAGGATTGACTTTTGAGCAATCTAGGATTTAGGGGTACCTAAACCCACATAAAACACTTGCAAATAAATTAATGTCATTCTTTTGTCTGAATCTCTCAGCAACAGTATGAAAACCTGGAAAATATAGCTTTCCTAGGAGCTGTTTTTGTTCTCTAGAAAAAAGGAATGGAGAATGGCTACCTACTACAATTATGATATTGTTGAACTCAATAACATAAAGCATTTATTTGTCACTTTGTCAATCTGAGCACAAAAATTTGGATGTCACGCTAAGCATCATCTTAAAATTTTCATTGTGTCAGTGTAAATGTTGTTAAATGAGCAAGCATGTCAGTGCATTTGCCAGCATGCTGCCTCAGTGGGCGATCATCAGAGGACACATCCATGGAGGACCCATCAAACATTTCTTTCATTGAGGTCAGGGGCATTTCTTGACATCACAAGGGAGAAAATTTGTTACTCACATAGTTTACTACCAATTGCAATTGAGGAGTTCTCTGGAAAAAGGGTGTATGTGCAAAAGATGCAATTCGAGATAAATGATAAAAACTTCCCATAGCTAATCTGAAGCTGGTCAAAACTTAATTATCAGTTAAATGGTATCATAGACCTTTTTCCTATTGAACTTGGGGATTTAATGAATTTCTTTATCTCACATAGCTGTGATGCTGGCAGAAAATGCTTATGCACACAATGCCCTTTTTCCATATCCGTGCTGCTGAAACTTTTTCCAACGAGCCTTTCACAACTTCGTTCCAGTTAAAAATAATAAGTAATCAATAAATGCATCTACAGATTTCAAATAAACTCTTTCTTGAAGAATAGCAATGAAAATGCGAATATTCAGGACACGTTTCATTCACCAATTGCTCAGTGGTGATCCATTATTAATGAATTCATCATCTGAATCTGCAACTATTTCATGGATATCTCCAACTTCTCACATCCTTCCAGAGGCTTGGATGACTCTGCCTCTTTCTTTCCCTTTCTTCATGTCTGGTTTCTTCCTCATTTTCACTTTCAGTTTAAAAGGACGAAATAATGCCACCAAAATCGCTCAGCACACAAGTGCTAATGGAATATTCATGGAGGCAGCCATATTGAAATTTCCTGGCAGTTGACCTGCTACATAGTGAGAGCATTGGAAAATTTGCTTCTCCTTTGCTGAATACGCATGTTACCTACTTGCTGACCACCCTATCCTATGACCAGTCACCTAAAGCAGAGCATGGACAATTTCCCTGATATGGAAAAAGGGCGTATGGGCATATACGCCCCTTTTCCAGAGAACTCCTCAATTTAGTTGTTGTTAAATTACCTGCACACACTGCATGTAAAAGCCTGTAAATTTCCTCTAAATAACTCATTTGGTAAACTGTCTGCAGGTGTGTAAAGTTCAGGACTTTTTTTTGGGCCACCTGGTATATGATTTTTCACCATGTGCCTTCTTAATGTTCCCAGAATTAAGGAACTTCTATGGGGTCACAGGTTTAAGAGTGTCAAAGACATCAATATGGCCATGAAAAGACTGGCCAAGGATGGTGGGACAGATGGAATAATATCCTCACTAGTTAGAAGAGAGAACCATGATGACAGATATTTTTGAGCAAGAAAGAGAGACTTATATAAGTTATTTTTTCTTCAATTTCTATTGGATTGGTCATGGAAAAATTACAGAAAAATTATTACTTAAGGCTTTCAGAATGACCCCTGCATATGGTGTATTGAATTCACATGAACTCAGTTACAAAAATGCTTAAATCTGAGATGAGTGCAGATAGGATGGCTTGACCACCCTTCAATTGACCATCCCAATATTTTATACATTCAAAGCAGAAAATTCAATTTCACTAAATATGGCAATGACAAACTAATTCTCCAACACTAAAACCATTGTGCCATTTCCATTTTCCCATGCAGCCTAACTCTTTCACCAGATTATAGTTATTTTGTTCTATCTCCATCATTGCGAGAAAAAATAAAGAGCTTTTGAATTTTATAGCATCAATGTTACTGAATGCTCAGATTATTATCACTTTCCTTTCTATTAAATCATGTATGAATTTTAGATTTTTTTAAAAATTCATTAGCATTGACTAAGAACAAAGTAATTCTGGCATTTACAGCAAAAATTACAATTCTTTTTTTACTTGATTCATTAATTCATCCAGCAAGATACCCACATAACAAATCAGAGACCTCCCATTCTATCAGAATGATTATCATCTGCCATTCCTAAAGTGACCCATGGGAAAATGGCACATATTGCAATCAGTTCATTGCTGTTTTTTTTTTCATTCCAAGAGCCCACATTTGCTATTGTTTAGTTGCTATTCTTTCTCTGCTGCCCTTCTAAATTCCCAACAGCCTTAATGTGAGAGGCAAAAGAACTAATTTTTTTTACCCTAATCTCCCCTCCAAGCATTGAAGTTGACAGAAATTTGCCCTGAAAAAGTTTGTAATTTCTCACTTACACCATGGCACCATCCTTGAGTTTGTAATGCACTGAAGCCTTAATGTCTCTTTTTTAACTTATTGATCAGTTATTTGACTAGGGAATTGATGTGTTTTTAATGGCTTGGTTTATATAACTGATCCCAAGTGATGGAAGAAGAAAAATTTATATTTTAAACAATTCTGCAAAAGAATGAGAGATTGGTGAAGGAATGAAATGAATTGGCCAAAAAAAAAGATGTAACAGCTGATGGATTAAACCTTCACCAAACTTCATCACCATACAGTCATGAAAACTTGACATCTCCTAGGTGACATAATTTCTTAAGCATATGTGATTTCTCATTATGAGATCTGATTCATGGTACAGTCCCCTCATTCTTCCAAAAGTTGAAAATGGGATTTTATTTATTTATTTTTGGGACTCACGGGATTTTTGGGAAGGAATTAGGGAGAGAAATGTCCATATTGATCATGATGACAACATTGAGGGGTCGAAATGGATGGAACAGTTCCATGAGATCAGTTTCCTGGATTTTCTCAGGGAAGTTGCTCACCAATACATCCACCACCAGTGAACCTAAAAAAGGGTGCATCAAGTTAGAGGTGTCTGCAATTTATAAAAATGCTCCAACTCAAATATATTGCCTTATTTAAGAACTTTTTTTTTCCCTCAACTCAAAATGTTCTGTCTACAAAGGAAGCAATTACAGCAGTGCCTTCAAATAATTTAGCACTTGTTATATATGGTTTGGCTCTAGTGAGGGATGGTCTTTCATCTGCCACACACAGGAGTCAACCCTCTGCCAAAGACAGATCTTACATGTGAACACTTTTTGGATGTCTCTGTTTTCATTGTCTTGTCACATCACCATTGAATGTTGTACTGCTGTACTTGCAAAAACCTCATGTTCATATGTGGAAATGGTTTTTCCCAGAACACCTCATGAACAAAAAGGAAGCATATGATAGGGTAAGTGTCTGCTCTTCAGCAGTACCGCATCATGGATGTTCTGGAGGCATGCTGGTTGCCCTTCAACATCTCTCTGAAGGAATAGTGATAATATCCCACTTATCAGTAATGCTCACTTCATTACAAGTTAGAGTGATCATATATGGGGGTTCCTGTGGACAGATAGTCCAATGATACAAATCTAAAATAAGAAGGGCTTGATGAATTCCTCACACAGGTGAAGGTGGGATAAAAATTGTTGGCTTTGGGCATGGATATAAATTACTTTTCATTTGGAGCACACATTAAAAAACAAAAGGTACCATGAGAAAAATTCCTGACTTTCAAGCAAGGCATGCACAACCCATCAAGTACCTTTTCCTTTTACCTTGAGCAGGCTACCAGCCATTTGGCACCTGATTCCTCAATCTGCAAGGAAGAACACACATAAGCCTACTACAAGGATATCCAACAGCACTAAAAATCTGCTGTTCACTTGCAATATTACTATTCCCTTTCCTAATCTAATGGAGGTGAAGAAAATTACTAGATGTCATCCTGTACTTTTAAATGAGGCTGCTCATGTAGATCATACAGTATTTACACAATTTAATCCTTTCCCTGACATTGGCATAGTTTTACATCGACATCCTTGAAATGTTCGGATATCCCGGCCAGGGAAAGGGTTAAAAAGAGAGGTTCAAGCCCTGCAGACTGTTGTTGGTAAGATGACCTTAAGAGGGCATAACCAATATTATGTAAAAATTGACCAAGTAACCATTTCAAGAGGTTGGGCTTGAAAGAAGAATGCACTCTACATGAATGCAAAGAGTATTTTTCTCATATGCCACATATACAAACCAGGAGATGGTATAATATTGTTTATATAAAGTTAGGGGTTTAGGATCGTTAAGAAGGGAGATGGGAGGGTAAATTACAGATGAAATTCTGCAGACATAACTACTGAATACTTGCATGGGTGATGCTTCTGATGCTTTAAGTATATGTTACATCTGTTGTGATGGAATACTCCCTGAAAGAGGAAATCAAAATGATGATCAATGCAACAACTCTCACTTGTAGCAATTTGCTGAGCCAATCTGTCAAGTTGATTGATAGGTGCAGCCAGGACCTTCTTCCCTTCCACAACAAGGCCATGAAGGTAACTCCAAGCAGCTTCCAGCTCCTCTATGTGGGCAAATGTCGAAATCCAACATCTGGAAAGGAGTAGGTCCTCTTGTATGATCAAGGAAGCCAGTCATGCACGAGTTTCTACATTGAACCAATGTGCACCTACAATACCCTGAGAGTAAAAAAAAAAAGCCTACCTCTTCCCCAGGGTACCACTTGAGGATTGACAGTGAGATATTGGGAGGAATGACTTGAGAAGCCCTTGAACAATATCTTCTGTCCAATTTAATGGAAGATTCACAATCACCAATTCCAAGTTCATTCTCTCCTGCCTGACATGTACAGGCCTGGGCACACTGGAATGACATGGACTAGAGTTCCTTGGGAATTGAAGCAGAGGAGGTCGGTCACCAAGCAATCCTCGGGGTCTGTCACTGTCACTAAGTAATCCTTGTGGTCTGTCACCATTTCCAAGAAATCCAAGCAGCTTGTCATTGTGCTCAAGAAGACCTCGAGGCCTCTCTCCTGTATCAGCATATGGTCGCACATTCTTTGGACCATCGCCCAGTAGACCCAAACGTTTTCGTGTCTTCTGACCCTGATGAAAAGCTTTAGTAGAACTCTTCACTTCAGGTGACTCATGGTGATAATGATCTGGATTGGGCTTCTTGGAAGGTCTTAGGTTTGGTGATATTTCCCTGCATCTTTTTGACCTGTCTTGAGCTTTGTCTTGACTGTACTGATTCTTTTTACTCTTGCTTTCATTGGGGCTGCCAGTGTCTTCCGAGTTAAGGAACTGCTTCTCCTCCTTGAGAGCATGAGACAGTCCTTCAGGAGAAAGGAGTACTTTCTTTTGATTGGGACTCTGTTTGAATTCCTCTTCATACTTTTCAGACTTTGGGACTTTTGGCAAAGAAAGCCTCTTTCCTACAATAGATTGGGGCATTCTAAGATCCTGGAGGTTTTCATTGTACCTCAAGTGACAGAATGCAACATCAGCATCCACCTCATTGGTGAACTGCACTATGATTTGTTCTCTGCGGCTTCCTTCACTGATACTGCTCACTTCTCCGTGCTCACCAAACAAACATTCAATTTCATGATGTCCCATATTGGACACATTTTTGAAAGTCAGGAAGCAGCCAGAAGGCTTCTTCACTGACTTCATCTCATCACAGAAACTCATTCTTAATCCCACATCAGGATAAATGTATAAATTTGCACAAATATGAAGCAGGACCTTAGTATGTGCAGAATATCTATTAAAACAGAGAAGAAAAAATTCCATTTATTGCATCTGACTCAGAGGAAATCATAGTGTTCATTTCCAATGGAGGTAGAACTCAATACTGGTAACTTATTTTTTATGGATTGCACACTGTGCACCAAAATGATTTAACAAATACTCTACATACACTAGTGGGATTTCCTTCAGGATAAAATTTTTTTTGTACTGACATACAAATATAGCTACATCTTGTATTACTTGATTAACATAAACAAAAGTGCTTAGAAAGAAATGATAGGGTTAAAAGTGAAATGGTACTTAAAGCCCTGATCTATGGTTTTGTCCCCGACACTCTGTCAATTAACATGTAGCAGTTCAATTCACCAATTGAGCCAATATTAATGAAGGTAAGGAGAAGATAACTGCAAAGGAGATTGAAAGTCCTAATGTGGCCAAAATTTTCTGTTGGTCCCTTTCCAGGTTGAAGTACATATGTCAAATCAAGGTCTAATTGCTTCAGAGCGATTTGAAGAAAAAATATCTGACTAAAGTAAAAAACACTGTGGCAACATCAATATTTCTCATGGCCCCATATGATTCATGCAATCCTGAATGACCTGGTGAGATTTTGATAACTGCATGCATCTGACAGGAATCCCTTGTTTGCATCACTCAGGAAGATAATAATTGCAAACATGGTTGCTGGGCATCTTTGAATGCATCCATAAAACTTGTGGCTATGATGAAAGCTCTCTCAGGAAGAAACAACCATCATCCAAAATGATTTCATCTAGCCTTCATGTCATCAAATCCTATTAGNTATGATTCATGCAATCCTGAATGACCTGGTGAGATTTTGATAACTGCATGCATCTGACAGGAATCCCTTGTTTGCATCACTCAGGAAGATAATAATTGCAAACATGGTTGCTGGGCATCTTTGAATGCATCCATAAAACTTGTGGCTATGATGAAAGCTCTCTCAGGAAGAAACAACCATCATCCAAAATGATTTCATCTAGCCTTCATGTCATCAAATCCTATTAGCTGACAGCCTGCAGACTTTATATTATTCATTTAGGAAATATTAAATTAATAAGCAGAAATTTGCTTTGTCACCTGCCTCTAAAACACATATTAGAAGTGCAAGCAAAGTTTTAATTACCTTAGGCCTAGAGGCATCTGCAAGTCATACTTACAGATCTGATTAGACAAGAGCATACTGTTCATAATTTAGACCACACACAAATTTCTAACCATTTAGTGTGTGTCCAGTTAAAACTGACAGGAAATGATGGGGGGGTTGTGCTATGTGCTTGAGTAATTTCTTTCTACAAGTTACCATAAGACCCATGGGAAATATAGAGAAAGTTTTCTTCCATTTACTCTGGTTAACTTGTAGTGATGCAAATAACATCCAAAAGCAGAAAACTACACCTGTGCCATGAATACATGGCATTGATCATGTGGAATTATGAAGAAATTTGATGTGTAGTTAGAGTTCCACATCTGACTTACCTTCTTCTAGCCAATGTAGGTCTTCATGTAGGAGTTCATTGACTATTGATAAGTGTAGAAATCATATCTGTAATGCCACTGGGGTAGTCACAACATAGTATGCTCAAGAAAACAATGAAAAAGAGTCCTCAAGCATTAGGTCACCATATTTTGGGCTGGTTCAAGTCCACCTTATGTGAGACGCATGGAAAAAATAAAAAGGGAGACTGAGGTTGTGGTTGTTTCACCACTCATCAGTGGTCCAGGGGAGGTTAGGCCTGAGGAATCTCAGGGAGCTGCAATTTTACAGGTCTAGACCTATCTGTCACTGCAGTCATCACCTCAACTAGGCGTACCTCTAGGGCTAGGCCTGTCCCAGAAATGCGATAATATCCAAAGAAAAACCTAGGAAAATTTAGTTAGAGATGAGTGCATGCAACCCACACGTGGAATAAGCCTATGATACCGATTGCACAGAGGGCAGGCACTGGGGCGTGGAAGGTAAGTACGATCTTTACTCGCTGTAGATTGGGTAGCTCTTTTTGATGACGAGAGCCTAACCGAAGATTACAAAAAAGTGAACTCAGTCTGTCTGTTTAAAAGTGAACTGAGTCCTGGTCGCGGCATTGCTGGATATTCGGCGCCTTGTGCAAATATCAATCTAGAGTCCCCCCCCCCCAACTCTAAACCTATCCAGCTTCCTCAGCACCAACAATACTTTACGTATTAATTTCTATGTTTAATTTAGTTAAATTCACGATAATTAGCTTTTTAAAGTTTTATTCCTATTTTGTAGTGATTTGGCAGCCTATCGGCCCCCCTCAAGTCGACACCCTGTGCGAGCGCACCGCTCGCAGCCCCTTCAGTACTGCTCTGCTCAGGACACTCGTGCATGGGACGTTCCTCATTTATGAGTGTATGAGCGAAGTGAAAAAAAATACATGACTGTAAAAGTGCGAAACAAATGAAAAAAAAATACAGCACCTTTTCTGGCGCTGTTATCAACGCTGCTCGAGAGAAGGCAAAAAAAAACGAAGTCGTAATTAATGGTAATGCTAACGGTGACGAGATATGTAGTGTTTCCAAATTGATTTTTACTCATGTATCCTCTTTCTGTGCTGCTGATGTTGCGGGGACTCGACAGACATCTCGTGTTTACCATCCTCTCTAATGACTTGTTAATGAGTTAGAGAGGAAGCAAAACAGCAGAGGTGTAAGTGGGTCACGTTCTAGGACCCATTTTGGGCTCGGCAGTTCCGATGCCGAACAAAGTAAATGTAGATACTGTAGAATGATCCAAATATCCTACGTCATTGGAATTCATGTCATCACCGGCCGATTTTATATCAACTGGCGTCTGTGTTATTGGAAAGGAAAAGTGACAAAGAATACCACAAAATAAAAAAACAGATGAAGAACGATTCCTATTACAGAGCTGTGAACCTCTCCACCCCCTCCCCTTTCTCTTTCCTTCCCTCTCGGTTGATGGGCCACGGATTACATCATGAGATTGGAGTATTTTCATGGGAGAGATTGTGGATGGATGGATTTTCAAACAATTTTTTTTCTCAAGAAAAATGACTATGACTTCTGAGCTCGTTCCTTTCATCACCCTATCTATTGCCGCCGTCTTTGCCATCTGAAGGTTCATTCCAGATTACTCTCGTGTGGAGGCAAGCACCAAAAATCGCTCTGATGTAGCGATTAGGTGCTTCGCAATTTGATTTTCTGCATTTGATCATATCCGATGCTTGAAATCGATCATAGATCCTATAAACACATGAACTAATGTTCTGTCACTCGACTCCATCGTGACATCAAAAGCGTTGGAGCATAAATTAAGTATATGAGTCTTTCGGCATGCTAGGAGATAGGAAAACGATGGCAATGTAATCCGGAAGCTAAAGCGCCCTTTAGAAACTTCTTCGGATGAAGCAGACAAGGAAGACAGATGGTAATCGATGACCTCTGATGGGTACATGAGCGTGACCGCAGGGAGTAGCGCGGCCAGCGGACCGCGTTGTAAAAGAAGACGAAAAAGAAGGGGGAGGGGGGGTTGGGGGGTGGATCGATGGAGAAACAGTCAAGGAGCAAAGCCGTTTTCAAGTCGCACCTCACGACCGCATGTCTGTTAGTCGTATACGAGGACCTCTCGTTCCTTCGCGATTGGGCTACAATCAAGATCCTCGGGGCTCGACATGCGTCGCCGCAGTCTCCGTCGATCGATCACGTCATGTCACTTCCTTATAAGTGCTTAGATGCAATATGGAGTGTCAATGACAGGAAATGGGAAAATGTGCTCACGGTTACTTTCGTTTATTGTTCCCTGCAACCACTGAAACACTTCAATTAGCCGAACATTCGTGACAGTCACCATAGACTTCCCCCATTTTTATGTTCACGCACAAGAGCACGAGGATGGCCTCGGTGCAGGAGTGAAAAGCAGTTGAACGTGAAGATCTCATCATTGGATTCATTCTTCATCCTGTCTTCAAATGCACAAGACTACTTCCCCCATTTCTATGTTCACGCACAAGAGCACGAGGATGGCCTCGGTGCAGGAGTGAAAAGCAGTTGAACGTGAAGATCTCATCATTGGATTCATTCTTCATCCTGTCTTCAAATGCACAAGACATTGGCAGAGGCAATAAACTGTTGTTTCCTCTCATGCCTTAAGTACTAGTATTTATTATTATTATAATACAGTGTCTTCGTCCTTCCAAAACCATTCAGTCCCTCGACTCAGCGTGTGCCGAAACTCAGGTCTTTGTGCAGTGAGTTCCAACTTGAATAGATGAAGAGTCGTCGTGGATGCTTAGTACTCTCTTGCCCCGGAGAAATAATATTATTCATGAAAGGATTTCTGGGATTAGAGTATCGTCTTTTATTAACTCTCGGAAAGACGAAGGGGACTCTGAGTCAGGATTTGTTCCTTGCCGAAGTTTGACCTTGATGAAGTTGGCATCAGTTATCATGGTATCCGAAAGAAGTGTGAATGGGAATGAAAGGGATTTAACCCGAAACCCCCCGAATGCATTTATATAATTACAGTGCAAGTCGTCTTTCAGAGAGACGAGAGCTACTGAATTTAATAGCTCCTGTGAGGGATGAGAGGCTGGCTACTAAAATGAAAATGGAACTCCGAGGATTTCATTCTAAATGGTTCATTCGGGAGTTTGGATTGCACTCGTTGCAGAGAAATTTATCGAGGGAGAATTTCCGCCAGGTAGTCCACGTCACGAATCGATGAAATGGCTTTTCGAAATGTCAACAGCGAAACGAAAGGAGACAAGAAGTTGGGGAAGTCTCGGGTGAGACCTCGCTCACTTTTCACTTGTTTGCTGATGGGAAAAACGCTTAAGGCGAAGGAAAGGGGCTTGCGCTTTCGTGGCATAGCTTTTGAGATATTTCGCAGCGTTCATGGGCAAAAACCGAAGAAAGGAAGCAAAATAATTGCATTTGACCAGACTGGATAGAAACGCTCCACCAAAAATATTTATCTTCAGAGGGCCCATTTATCCCCATTTCCATTCGCGACGGGAGAATTGGTTGTCGTTTAGACCCCCCAGGAATGTTTCTTGATACTATATTATGACAGTTTCAAGCATTTACTTTTCACAGGCCAAATAATGATACCANTGAGTTAGAGAGGAAGCAAAACAGCAGAGGTGTAAGTGGGTCACGTTCTAGGACCCATTTTGGGCTCGGCAGTTCCGATGCCGAACAAAGTAAATGTAGATACTGTAGAATGATCCAAATATCCTACGTCATTGGAATTCATGTCATCACCGGCCGATTTTATATCAACTGGCGTCTGTGTTATTGGAAAGGAAAAGTGACAAAGAATACCACAAAATAAAAAAACAGATGAAGAACGATTCCTATTACAGAGCTGTGAACCTCTCCACCCCCTCCTCTTTCTCTTTCCTTCCCTCTCGGTTGATGGGCCACGGATTACATCATGAGATTGGAGTATTTTCATGGGAGAGATTGTGGATGGATGGATTTTCAAACAATTTTTTTTCTCAAGAAAAATGACTATGACTTCTGAGCTCGTTCCTTTCATCACCCTATCTATTGCCGCCGTCTTTGCCATCTGAAGGTTCATTCCAGATTACTCTCGTGTGGAGGCAAGCACCAAAAATCGCTCTGATGTAGCGATTAGGTGCTTCGCAATTTGATTTTCTGCATTTGATCATATCCGATGCTTGAAATCGATCATAGATCCTATAAACACATGAACTAATGTTCTGTCACTCGACTCCATCGTGACATCAAAAGCGTTGGAGCATAAATTAAGTATATGAGTCTTTCGGCATGCTAGGAGATAGGAAAACGATGGCAATGTAATCCGGAAGCTAAAGCGCCCTTTAGAAACTTCTTCGGATGAAGCAGACAAGGAAGACAGATGGTAATCGATGACCTCTGATGGGTACATGAGCGTGACCGCAGGGAGTAGCGCGGCCAGCGGACCGCGTTGTAAAAGAAGACGAAAAAGAAGGGGGAGGGGGGGTTGGGGGGTGGATCGATGGAGAAACAGTCAAGGAGCAAAGCCGTTTTCAAGTCGCACCTCACGACCGCATGTCTGTTAGTCGTATACGAGGACCTCTCGTTCCTTCGCGATTGGGCTACAATCAAGATCCTCGGGGCTCGACATGCGTCGCCGCAGTCTCCGTCGATCGATCACGTCATGTCACTTCCTTATAAGTGCTTAGATGCAATATGGAGTGTCAATGACAGGAAATGGGAAAATGTGCTCACGGTTACTTTCGTTTATTGTTCCCTGCAACCACTGAAACACTTCAATTAGCCGAACATTCGTGACAGTCACCATAGACTTCCCCCATTTTTATGTTCACGCACAAGAGCACGAGGATGGCCTCGGTGCAGGAGTGAAAAGCAGTTGAACGTGAAGATCTCATCATTGGATTCATTCTTCATCCTGTCTTCAAATGCACAAGACGTTGGCAGAGGCAATAAACTGTTGTTTCCTCTCATGCCTTAAGTACTAGTATTTATTATTATTATAATACAGTGTCTTCGTCCTTCCAAAACCATTAAGTCCCTCGACTCAGCGTGTGCCGAAACTCAGGTCTTTGTGCAGTGAGTTCCAACTT